GGCAAATGGGTCATTAATCTGAGAAGGCAGTTAACCATTCCATTAATCGTTACATGGACGGAGGGAGAAAAATGCTAACTTTGCTTCCTTACCTATTCTTTTTTATTTTTAATTTATTTATTTTTGTTGCAGATGTTTCTCCTCTTCACCCCCCTCCCCATTCTTGAAAGGAGTCCCGAACCCTGACTCCATTACGGAAGGAAAATTTATTCCAAGAGAAGAGTGTGGATTGTGAAGAACTGTGAGATCCCCAGCAACTCCCCCTCCGCGGCAACCACCTTCTGCTTAGAAAGTTGTTTTAGGGAGTAAGAGTTACTGCTTTTAAATTATAGTGTTAGCACAACATTTCAAGGGTTCTTTTTTTTTTTAATCTTTGTGTTAAAATTCAAGGTTTTCACTTTGAAAGAAGGAACACCATGGAAACGGTTTCCGCCCCACCCCAAGGGAACAGCATGGTTAACTCAATCAGATGCTCCCCATGACAGCTGCATGGTTAACTCAATCAGGTGCTCATCCGAGCATGCTTTGGCCATGTATTATATGTTACCTGTTCTATATAGTTGCCTGTGATTGTGTTGCGTGCTTATGGTAGGATGGATACAATGATGCTCACTTTAGATACATTTACTGATTTAATATTCAAAGCCAGCCCACAAGACGGGGATGATTATCCCCACCGTAGAGAGGAAGACAAGTTCAGCAATTCTCCGAGTCCAGGCAGCATAACTGGACTGGAACCCAGGTCTGCCTCATCCAGGACCCCGTGCCCTTACCTCTTCTTTGGGCCACACGGCCCGTTCGAGAGAGACAAAGATGGGCCGGGCACAGACCCAACCCTTGAGAGGCTCGTGACCAACTGTCATGAGATAAGGTTCGTGAGGACAGGCTGTTCTAGCCCATTTCCTCAACCCTCCCAGGACCTGGCACCTAATCGGTGCTCATGAGCGCAGGAACGAAGGGGTACATCAGTAAGTGCAAGGAAGCACAGAGTAGGCTCCACGGAAGAGGGCAATGTGAGTCCGTGTTTGCAAGAAGATGGTGTGTCTGGGGGAAGCATTCCCAGCGGGGGACATGGTCTGAGCAAAGACACGGCTGCAGAAAGGCACAGGGAGGGAGGAGAAGGGAGTCGTCTTGAGAGCTGCTGGCTATGGGCAGGCAATAAAGCCGAGGACAGGACGGGGCTCAGAGTAAGAAGAATCCTTTGAGACCAGCTACGACATTTAAAACCATAAAAGTAGTCCTGGCCAGTTTGGCTCAGCAGTTAGAGCATCAGCCTACAGACCAAAGAGTTGCAGGTTTGATCCCGACCAACAGCACATACCTCGGTTGCAGTTAGGTCCCAGGGTCATGCGGGAGGCAACCAATCGATGTGTCCCTCTCACATCCATGTTTCTCTCTCTCTCCCTCTCCCTCCCTCCCACTCTATCTGAAGATAAATGGAAAAATATCCTCCGGTGAGGACTTTAAAAAATAAAAATAAAAACATAAAAGTAAGACATTTTTAATCTGTATTGGCAAAAACTATAGGGACATCTGTTTTTCTTGCTCAACAGCATTTTCCCCTCTGATTTCGCCTCCCTGATTTACCCTGAGGAACCAGCTCTTCCACACCCCCACTCCGTGATTCCGAGGCGCAGGGCACCGTGCTCACCTCGGAGGTAGAGCTGGGACGCATGCCTGGTCCACCACATCCACACTCCTGACCGTGAGAACTGGTGAAGGGACGAGTAAGTGACTCAAGCAAGCATCTGAGTCGATCCTAGAACTTCTGTTTGAACTACCAAGAAAGGAAAGTTCTCTTTTCTCCCTTCCCTCTGGAGTCTCAGACGCTGTAAACCTGAAGTTGTCCCTCCAAGAGGACCTTCCTGTGATGAAGCCAAGGCAGACAGAGAAAGAGATCAAGTTCTAGTCACAGCTTTCGAGCCCTGGATCCAACCATGCCTGAAGCTGGAGCTACTCTTTGACTATCCAAACACAGGATTCAATAAATCCTCTTTGAAATACTTGCAGTCAATACGGCATAGGAGTTCAAAGTCCAATCTCCACCAATTTTAGCTCAGAGAGGCTGGGCTGAAACGACACCTGTAAAGTATTAGAACACAGCCAGCCGTATAACTGACCCTCGTGCGTGTCAGCCGTTATTATCAAACCAGTTTTATTAGTTGTTACAACCAAACATCCTGGGATGGTTCGTATTATGTCAGCTTGGCCATGCTCTAGTTTCCAGTTATTCAAGGACACTTTAATCTAAATGTTACTATGAAACTATTTTGTAGATGTGCTTAGCATTTCCAATCAGTTGACTGCAAGTCAAGGACGTTGTCTTTGATCATCTGGGTTGACCTCGTCCAATCTTTTGAAAAGTCTTACTGAGATTTCCCTAAAAAAGAAGACGTTTTGCTTCAAATCTCAAGACATCAGTCCCAGAATTCCCAGCCTGCTGGCCTGCTCTACAGATTTCAGACTCTCCAGCCCCCATAATCATGTAAATCAACATCGTGAAATAAGCGTCTATCTATCGATTGATTATCTATCTATTTTCTATCTGTAATCCTCTCCTATTGGTTCTGTTCCTCTGGCAAACCCTGACTGATACCAATCCTTACTCATACCGTGTCCAAAAGAAGAACCAAATAATTAATTTCAAGCCCAAATGATCTACACTGAAACGCTGAGGCACTCCAAGTAAAGACTGTTAGCGAATTCTCTCAACTGACCACCACCACCCCAACTGCATTTAGCAAAAAATGATTCAGAAGCTGAGAAGCAGGGGAGGGAAGTCCGATCTGAAATAAAATCGCCGTTCGGGCTTAGGTGGGCAGATTTGTACGCTAGCGGGAGCCGGAAGGCGCGGTGTGTTTTTCTGGGCCCGTGATGGTTTTCTTGGTGCCAGGAAACTGTCCGTGTCTCCGAAAGGCTGTCAAGCGTCTCCCCTCTCCCTTCCGCACTTGGGGACTGTCATCGCATAAACGATCCAACTACATGTGACGAAAGCGGGGAGCTGGGATTTACGCCCGTGAGGAACATAGATGCATCACTCCCGAGCGGGGCTGACAGGAGTGAGTGATCAGAGGACCTCCGTGGACCAAGATCGGTACTAAACCTTCCATCCGTTTAGCGGGTCCCTGGGTTCCAGTGCTCTTCGTCTTGAAACCTGTCATCGAGCACGTCGCGTCCTGGCTTGTAACTGCTGAACCAGGGGCTTCCTTTGGTGGACACGCATGTGGCCTGCGTTTCGTTAGATTCAGACGTGATGTTTTCCCAGTACGTCTGTCCTGACCTCGGCGCGGAGGACCTCGTGCCGATTCCTGGGCCTCCCAGATCCCAGGAGGAAGCTGCCCGACCCCAGGAGGGTTTCCCTGAATGGACACATCTCTGTTGCCGCTAACAAGAGTAGCGTAAACCTCTGCTCTCGCACGTGGCGTTTATTGGCGGGCGGCTGCCCCCAAAGACGTCGCGCTGCCACGTGTTTTGAGAGAAGACAAACAGGTGAGTAATTTATGTTGACACTGAGAAGACAGGGCCTTCTATCACACACCTATGTATAGTGCCAGTGAATGAGCTCAGGATGACAGCCAGCTCCAGCAAAATTCTTCACTAAGAAATTATTAAATGGATCCTCCCAAACTCAGATGGAGACTTTGAAGGGATGTCCCTCAGTCATGCCCCCCTCCTTCCCCGGCCCCTGCAAACTTGGTTTTCTGCTCCTGGGGCCCTAATAAGATGCCCGTCATCATAATTTAATACAGACCTCCAACATCTTTGTTAATTAAACATGAGAAACTTCAACAAGCACACGCAGAAAGAGACTCCTGATACTTGTGTCTAATTATCTAACCGTTAGGCCATAAATGAGAATTGCTTTCTGATTATTCAATACAATTAGTAAGAAGTAGGTTTTTTTGTTTTGGGTTTTTTTTTTTGTAGGGTTTTCTTGTTTGTTTGTTTTGCTGTTGGGGGAGATACGTGGTTAGACTGTTCTAACTTAGTTTTTGAAAATAAGATTGACATTTAATAGGACTGCTAATTAATGCCGGGCAGTTCATAGGTACATGCCATTATTTCTGGCAACAATGTCTAAATGAGACTTTAAGGCCCTTTCTAGGGCGTAGGTGGCTGGAGCTAAGTGACCAGAGACTCTGTTTTTAAATCGCCTTTTGGAATATCTGAATGGCACATAGCACACCCTCCCTCTCTGAGAACATCTAACCGTAGGAGGAGTCACCGTGGCCATGTTTACATGAGAGACCCTGGCCTCCTGGAGAGAGCCCCCTGGCCCAGGAGTGCGCCCCTCACCAAGGCTGGCTAACCAGGCTCGCCCTCCTGGGGATCGGGAATGGGGCATTGGGGTGCTGGTCAATTTGGGGACAAGAGCTGGGAAATGATTCCACTCCATGGCAAGGGAGGGCTTTGTTCTTGGAGCAACGAGAAGCTGAGAAAACTGGACAGAGAAGAAGAAAAATGAAGCAAAAATACACACTACTGGACATTCAATAATACTACTAATAAGACAGAATGATACAAATCCTCCTCTCTGCTTCCTGATGCTTTTCTGATCCTTGTTTCTCCGGAGATGTGGAGTTACCTTTTCCCTCGAAGTCTGAGACAGCTGGGTATACTTATAACAAATGCACTTCCCCCCCCCCAAGTGAATATGCAAGGATTTCTGTTCTTTTCAAATGAACAAGACACAATACAAAACAAACAGGGGAAGATGGGGAAGACTTTTATGCCAATCAGAAAGCAACTGATACATACACAAAGGAAGAAACTCATGCTCTTATTGAAAGTCATCAAAGAGATGCAGTTACAAAGAAGACTGGAAGGGACAAGCCCAGAGGAAGACGCTCCTCTTATGAGGGCAAGCCTGTCTCCACCCCTGGGGCCAGGTGTTGGGGTCCAGGGCAGGCCAGGAAGAGCGGTCATGCTGGAGGTGGACGCGTTTTGCTTGAACAAATAAAATGCAGTAAAACTTTGGATAAACCTGTGGGCTGGCACTTTGGATTTGAATCTGGAGGAACTTCAAATGCACAGATGGTCCTTTGACCCAAAGGATTCTCTTGAAAATTGTGCCGAGTAAACAGGTAAAGAGTGGACTGGATTCCAGAAGAAATCCCATGTTCTGGCACCAGGATCTCCTGAAGCCTTGAAGTAGGAATGTCTCTAGCGTCCCGAGTTTGCCATCTTTTGGTGTCATGGAATATAAACTCTCACAACCTTGTAGTGTAGCAGACGTGGGGTTCCACTGCCCGACCTTCTACAGTCTCTTGGTCTCCCTGTGTTGCCATTTGCCAGTACTGCTGAATCTTGACCTTGCCAAGAGAATGTCTAGTGGTGTTGACATCTGCCAGAATCGAGGTGTAGAATCCTTGTACTGTTAGGTCTGTGCTCGACGCAAGAGATACGGGGATGGATACTATCAAAAAAAGAAAGAAACCGAAAATGGCAAATATTAGCAAGGATGTGAAGAAATTGGAACTCTTAAGCTCTGATGGGGGGAGTGTGAAACGGTGCAGCTGCATTGGGAAGCAGTGTGGTGTTTTTTTTTGTTTTTTTGTTTTTGTTTTTGTTTTTTTAATCCTCACCCGAGGACATTTTTCCATTTTTTGTTCAGGTAGAGTGGGAGGGAGAGAGAGGAACAGAGAGAGAGAGAGAAACATCGATGTGAAAGAGACACATCGAGTGGCTGCCACCCGCACAACCGACCAGGGCCGGGGACAAACTGCAACCGAGGTACGTGCCCTTAGCGGGAACCGAACCCGGGTCTCTCTGGACCGCAGGCCGACGCTCTAACCGCTGAGCCAAACCGGCCAGGGCCAGTGTGGTGTTTTGAATGGAATGTCATGCTGTGGCTGGTTTGGTTCAGCAATTAGAGCGTCAGCCCTTGGACCAAGGGGTTGTGGGTTTGATTCTGGTCAAGGGCACGTACCTGGGTTGCAGGTTCAACTCTGGCCCTGATTGGAGTCATGCAGGAGGCAACCAATGGATCTCTCTCTCTCTCTCTCTCTCTCTCACATCAATGTTTCTCTCTCTCCCCTTCCCTCCCTTCCACTCTCTCTATAATTCAACGAAAAAATATCCTTGGATGAGGATTAATAAACAAAAAAAGAAAGAAAAAAAAATGGAATGACAATGTAATCTAGCAATTCCCCTTCTGGATGTGTCTCCAAAATTAAAAGCAGGGTCTTAAGAGAAATTGCACATCCCCACTCATCGAAGCATCATTCACCATCGCCTAAAGATGAAATCAATGCAAGCACCCGTCAACAGATGAATGAATAAACAAAATTTGGTATCCTATATACAATGGGATATTATTCATCCTTAAAAAGGAGGAAATCTTGCCATTTGCAACAACGTGGATGAACCTGGAGGACATTACGTTCAATGAGCTAACCCAGTTATGCATAGACACATACTGCATGATTCCACGCACAGGAGGGACCTGGAGCAGTCCAATTCATAGCGGCAGGAAGTAAGACGATTGTTCCCAGGGCCTGGGGGAGTCATTGTTTACTGGGGATAGAGTTTCGGTTCTGCAGGATGAAGAGTCCTGGAGACGGATGGCATGACATCATGAATGTCCTTAACACTTCTGAACTAGATACTTAAAAACGGTCAAGATGGTAAATTTTAGGTTATATGCATCTCACCACAATTTGTTGAAAAAAAGTAAACATATTTTGATTCCAGGTGCTGAAAATCGAAGGAGCTGCTTGATGGTTAAAGCCAGAAACCTTCCCCAAATCTGCACAACCCCTGATCTGATCAGACTGGTAAACACCTCACCTTATGTGGCTGAGAAAGAAAAGAACTCTCCCTTCCGGCCCCCATTCTTCTTCCAGGTGCAACATCCTAAACATAATTTAAAAATTACAGGACAGGCAAAGATGTGAGAGATGAGCCAGAGTCAAGAGAAAACCCAGTCGATAGAAAGAGACCCACAACTGTCAGCCAGAAGCGGGCACGCTGGAGGCTCCAGGACCCTCTCCTTAGGACTGACAGGAGCATCTTCCATACCTATAAAAACACTAACTCGGGCAGATATGTGCACCCAGATGTTCACTGCAGCATTACTTACAATAGTCAGGGCATGGAAATGACCTGTGTCGTTCAGTGAAGGCCTGGATAAAGAAGATGTGGCACATGTGTACAACAGAATATTGCTCAGCCATCAAAAAGATTAAGTACTGCCCCGGCCGGTTTGGCTCAGCGGTTAGAGCGTGGGCCTGCGGTCCTGAGAGACCCAGGTTCGGTTCCTGCTAAGGGCGCGTACCTCGGTTGCAGTTTGTCCCTGGCCCTGGTTGGTCGTGAGGGTGGCAACCACTCGATGTGTCCCTTTCACCTCTCTCTCTCTCTCTCTCTCTCTCTCTCTCTCTCCCTCCCTCCCTCCCCTCTACCTGAACAAAAAATGGAAAAATGTCCTCGGGTGAGGATGATTAAAAAAAAAGAAAAAAAAAGATTAAGTACTGCCATTTGTGACAACATGGATGGATAGCAAGAGTATCATGCTAAGCGCAGTAAGTCAGATGGAAAAGGACAAGCAGCAAGGGATTTCACTCACATGTGGGATATAAAACAGAAAGCAACAAACAAAGAAACAAGCGAAAAACCAAACTCACAGAGACAACAGAATGGAGGGGAAGGAGATGGGGGAAAGGGGGTCACATATGTGGTGACACAAGGAGACTAGACTCTGGGTGGTGAGCACACAATAGAGTATTATCAAGTCATACATGTTACAAAGTTACACACCTGAATTTGTATTCTGCTAATAAATAATGTTACCCCAATAAATTTAATAAAAGAAACTCTGATCTGGCAGTTGTATTTCAGGGAGGGGTGTTTGTGTGTGTGTGTGTGTGCACGCACGTGTGTGCGTGTGTGTTTATATCAGAATTATCCAGCTTTGCAAACTACATCACTGATGATGAGTGTGGAGAAGAGACTGTGGGTGGTCGGGGGGGGGGACCACTCTTCAGTTGAATTACTGATGACAAGTTATGTCTCACCCTGGTCAATTCAGCTCGTTCTTTTGGACACTTATATACACCAGCCAGCCTAAGGCTTGAGGGGGCAGGAAGCTGTCTTGGGAGCTCGCCTGAGTCTCTCATGGGTCCCAGCGTCTCGAGCAGCACTGTTCCATCTGCTTACTCTGACAATACCAGTGTGATGATGAGGACTACCAACTTTCAGTACTTAGTTACATGTCAATGGAAAATGTCCCGTTTCATCCCCCCTCATCCTTACGAAGGGAGGCACTGTTATTTCCTTTCTACAGATAAGGAAACTGAGGTTTAAGGGGGTCAACAATTTGGCGAAGGGCATTGAAATAGGAAACGAGAGAACTTGAGTCTGATCCTGGTCCAATACTGAATCATGGTCTTCGATTGCTTCCTGTTCCCTGGTCCTCTAAAAATGTTTTGAAAATCTCTATATACCTTAACACATTAAGTTGGCACCTGTATCTTTTATCGCAAGTTGACAAGGATATAATTTCTGTAATATTGAAAGTCCTGACTTAAAAAAAAAAGTTAAATCAATCAATCTTTTATATTTATTTGAAGGACTATAGCTCTCATTCCAACGTGAGATCCACTTCAAATATTCAAGAACAAGAATGCTCTTTCAGCAGTCAGAGATTTTTAAATGGTTTGCCTTTCCCCTTGAAGTTGTTCGACTATTCCATGTCCACCACAGAAGCCTACTCGAAAAGAAGACATTTTTGTGCTTAAAAATATCCTATTGATCAACCTACTTCTTTGCAACAAAAATAGGCAGGCAAAGTAACATGTTAAACTTTTATCGAAATTCCCCGTGACCCTAAGCCCCTCGGCATGAACACGTGGCTTCAGTTGATTCGTAATTACAGTTATTAGTAGCCCATAACTGAGCCCTGCAACCCACGTGTCTGGCCAAGGTTAGGAGGAAATCTATTACCAGGGCACCCTCTAATGAGATGGACGGCTGAGCAGGGGCGAGGACAATAGACCCTGACTTGATTAAAGGCTGCTCCTCTTCTAATAATTTTTCAATTTTTTTCTTTGTTTGTTTTTTAAAATTCTGGTATTTCACTCCTCGGGGAAATGCACAGAGGCAGATTCTGGTGAGGCGGGCCTTTCTTGGGTACCCGGAGAAGACGACGCCTGTGGAAGGGAAGGAGCATGATGCTCTCCTCAAGGCACATTCACCGCTGCAGGAGAGAGAGCAGACGAAGGCTGACGCTCTTGGCAAAGGTGCTCGGAAAACCAGCCGTGCACGCAGACGGCTTGGGGGGCCCCTGCTTGGTGACTTTTCCTTCAGATGACCTCATTCTTTTGCAAGGTTTCGCGACATGGTGTGCCCACATCAATCCACCAGGAGAAATTAAAGTATTGCTGTCTGGCCTCCCCTCACACCAAAGACTATAATGAATGGATCAGAAGAGAGGCCCACGCTTTGGTATTATAACAGTGTTCCCAGGAGAGTCTAAATGTGAATCTGGTGAATCTCTGCTCAAACCTTCCTCCCCCTTAAACGGAGGTTCGATCTGAAGTCTTCAGATGCAAAACCCAAGATGCCAGCCACCGGCCCCATGTGGCCTTTGAGCAGCTGGGATGAGCCTAGTCTAACCTGAGATGGGCTGTACCTACAAAATACGTGCAGACTAAATTCTTAATGCTCAGTGTGAGAAACAAGAATGTCAACTATCTCATTAATAATGTTCATGCCCGGCGGGTGTGGCTCAGTGGGCTGAGCATCCTCCCATGGACTGAGAGGTCCCAGTTTGATTCCTGGTCAAGGCACATGCCCGTGTTGTGGGCTTGATCCCCAGTAGGGGGCATGCAGGAGGCAGCCAATCGATGTTGATATTTCTCATTAATGTTTCTATCTTTTTCTACCTTCTTCTGTCTCTAAAAAAAATCAATAAAGACATATTTAAAAATAAATAAATAAAAATAATGTTCCTACTGATTACCTGTTGACATGATACTTTGAATATATTGGGTTAAATAAAGTATATCATTAAAATTAATATCACTTGTTTCTTTTTATTTTGTTTTTGTTGTTTTTTAGTAATATATTAGGGTGACATTGGTTAATAAGATGAAAAAGTCAAGAACCATATGATATATGTGAGAGATAAAACTGAAAGCAACAAATGAACAAACAGGAAAAACAAGCAAACAAAAACTCATAGACCCAGACAACAGTATGGTAGTTACCGGGGGGCAGTAAAAGGAAAGGGGGGGTCAAATACATGGCAACAGAAAATATTCGACTTGTCCTGCTTTCTTAACGCGTCCAATACAATTGCATAGAGCCCTGCATGCTATTTATTCTGAAAGTGCTAATGTAGAGCACAGAAAAAGAACCCTAAGCTACCCCTTAAGTCACCCATAAGACACAGCCTTCTTCCTCATGCAGTAATTCTCATGCTCAAAGAACAGAGGAATGACTGCAGACACCTGGGGACTTACCCCTCCAGGTAACCAGAGGAGCCCTCGGGCCAGTGAGGGAGGGGTGGAAAACTCCAGTGTTTGCTCATCGACCAGGTTTGCACATTCAGGTCAATGTTGAGTCTAACACATGCGCAGTTCGTAGACTGCTGCTGTGAAGACTGCAGGGGGGTGAGGCAGCAGCCATGTCATAGGCACATGACACGGTTTTGAACAGCACAGAGCACAGGTATGTTCTTGTACACCCGATCTTATTGAATGCTCTTGACAGGTCTGGAAGGCGGGCCAGCACTATCTTCAAAAGGCATCCAGACCGGGAACATTCCTCCCCACCGCCACCCACACACGTCACCGTGGTCTTTCTCCTGCGCTAACCAGTGCGAGGGGATTGTTCCACCTGCCAATGGGCTGAACGCATCCCTGCTCCAGTCCCTGCTCCTCCCTTTTCACCCAGCATCCTCAGTGATCCTTTTAAATCCTGTCGGATTATGTCACTTCTCTGCTCAAGATCCTCCAGCGGCTTCTCTCGCGGCTCATGGTCAAATCCCAAATCCTTCCGGTGAAACGCGAGAAGCCCTCATGATCTTGCCCCAGTTCCCTGTCCCCAGGTCTGCCTCCTCAAACACATCAGGGACACCCCTGCCTCCCGAGTCGGCACCCGCGGTGCCTTTGCCTGACCCGCGGTCCCCCGTTTCCTGCGAGGCCCGACACCCGCCGCCCCCAGGCCTCTGCCCTCCGCAGGGCAGCCCTGCCACCTTCTGGCCCGAAGCTGTCCTCCTGCTGACCTTGCTCCGAAGCAGGCTCAGGCCTGCTCTGCAGCATGTCCGTCTCTATTTCACGTGTCCCCCACGAGCTTGTAAAGGCCATGTAGACGAGACCTTGTCGCTCACGGTCCTCTCTGCATCCCCGCCTCCTAGAACAGCAGGAGGCCCGCGGGCACAGGTATGCGCTTGTGAATGCCGACGACTGAATGAACATCGCAGAGGAGGAAACAGACCTGGACAGGTTTCAACCATTTGTCCAAGATCATGTCGTGTGAAACAAAGTCTTATGACTCCAGGTTTAACTGATCTACTACGAGGTAAACGGGTGGATTTCCTTCAGCAGCAAATGCAAAGGTTAAGGGCCCATAAATAACTGCATCGTTGTTTTTTTTTATTTTTTATCCTCACCTGAGGACATTTTTCCATTTTTTGTTCAGATAGAGTGGGATGGAGGGAGAGGAAGAGAGAGAAACATCGATGTGAAAGGGACACATTGAGTGGCTGCCACCTGCACAACCCAACCGGGGCCGGGGACAAACTGCAACCGAGGTACGTGCCCTTAGCGGGAACCGAACCCGGGTCTCTCTGGACCACAGGCCGACGTTCTAACCGCTGAGCCAAAACGGCCAGGGCAATGACTGCATCTTTTGATCATATCCACACCTCTTGGTCCCACACGCAGACTGCACAGATTACCTGCAGCTAATTCAACACACCGCATATTAAATGCCTCAGAAAATGTATTTTCAAACGTTAAATGTAGGGAAATGTTGCAACAGTCCAGACACAAGCAACAGTGTTGAGAATTGGACTCTAGCGGTAGTCCACCATCTTTCTAGAAAACGGAACAGCTTCTTGGATGCTTATCAGTTGAGGATGCACGGAAGAACATTGGCCAATGCATCCCAGAGAAGACTGGAGGGATGGTGTCCTGTTCACTCTCCCTGCCAGGTTTAGATACTTGTTTTTCTAAGCTAGCACATTCATTATTCAGAACCTGTCATTGTTTCTACTAGGTCGAGGGTTGGTGTACTTCAAGGCCAATTAAAAACATATCCGGTGGTAATAACCAGCTTACTCTTAAATACCTAAATACCATATGTCTTCTGGGTTGCATTTGTTTACCTGTTTATTTATTTCTTCATGACCAATGTCAGAATCCTCAAAATTGTGATATGCCTCATAATTCATTTCACAAGAAACTTGTCGTAGCCAGCCTCCAAGAAGGTCCTCAGTGACCCCCCTTCTAGTGTGTCCCACACTGGACATTGAACAGAGCTGAGGGGGGTATCTCAGAAAAGACAGTGTGAGTTCCCCAGCTGGGTCATGAGAAACATTGTGACCACCATATTGTTCTCTTGGTTCACTTGTTCTAGGGAAACCAGGTCTGATACCACGAGGACACGCGAGCCCCTGGAGAGATCCTCGTGTCGAGGAACTGAGACCTCCTGCCAGCAACCAGCAACACATGAGGGAGCCTTCTTGGGAGTGATCCCCCAGCCCCAGTCAAGCCTTCAGATGCTGCAGCCCCCGCTGACATCTTGAATGCAACCGCGACAGAAACCCTGAGCCAGAATCACCCAGCTCAGCTGCTCCCGGATTCCCGACTCAAGAAAACACGCGAGATAAGAAATGCCTGTTGCTGTTTTCAGCCACTGTTCTGGAGAAATGTGTTAGGTGGCAATAGATGGCTAACCCGACAAGCATCTTAGAAAAGAGGCAGTCGCTTAGAAATGCCATCACTCGCTATTTGACATAGGCCAAGTTCTCGTTGCCAGCCACAAAGTAGCTGCAGTCCCAACAATCTTTAAGAATATTGTTTTTCAAGCATTTCAGGACAGCCAACCCAAAAACTACAGACTTGACTGATACTGAAAAGTTGGGCTTGGCTTGGATGCTGTGTTGCTTCATGGTTTGAATAAAACAAACCACTCTCTAGGCTGGTTTATTTAATAACCTATAAAAACCTAGAAGCCAAAAAGTCAATGTCTCACTAAGCCTACGTGTTAACCCACAGCCCATTTTTCATGTAGACGCGAGAATCAGCCCTCTCTTTTCTAGACAACTTTGACCTTCGTGGCAAGTTCTATTATAGAACTCCAAAAGGAATGATTTGCGTTGGTGGGATTCCTTTTTTAAGTCTTCAGATCGCAAGACATTAAAATTGCACTCTGTTGGAAGAACCCGGGTGTGAACGCCGGATTGCATTCTTCTTATTGTGAGCTGTGAACAAAGGAGAATCTCATTTGTCAGAGTGGATCTGTACTGAGTGGATGTACGCATCGTCTCCTGGAGGAAAAACAAACTGTGCTACAGAACTAGAAATTCTTTGGGTTAATATGTTCCTATCGATAGAATCCCCTACTTAACGTTTGTCTACACAGGTGCTCAGTTGAAGCATCAAAAGAAACAATCCAATTGTCATCATTCTCGTAGAAAAATCTAATAAAACTTGTGTCTACAAAATCAACTTTATTTAAGTTAAAATGTGTATTTGCATCCCATCAGAATGAATTATTATTATGAAGTTAAGAGTCTATAAACAGGAAAGATAACATAATTCAGATATTTCAAATCTAAAAGTTTACCTTTACCTAAAATATCTATTTTAAAACATTTCATTTCATTTCAACTTTTAGAGCCACGACCTTTAATGCAATACATTTCTGCTTTCAGATTCTCTCTTTTATGGTTTCTTTTCAAACCCTTTGTTTAGGCTTGGCCTGAAAATACCATTCCCAAATATTAAATTGCTATCCCTTGTCCCATATCCCCTTTGAGTTTTTCAACAAAGTATAACACCTCTTAGAAACCTTTTGATAAGTATTACTGTCCAAAACAACTTATCCTAATACTCAAAAGCTGTAATTCTGAAAAAGTTCATTTGTTCACAACTGTGTCTGTGGGCCCAGCATAATGCCTGGCACAATTAGGCAAGAAAAAGAAATAAGAGGCATCCAAACTGAAGAGAGAAAAAAAAACAAAAAACGCCTGGCCAGTGTGATGCAGTGGACTGAGCATCGTCCCATGGACTGAGGGGTCCCAGTTTGATTCCCGGTTAAGGCACATGCCCTGGTTTCAGGCTTGATCCCCAGTAGGGGGCGTGCAGGAGGCAGCCGATCAATATTTCTCTCTCACATCGATCTTTTTCTCTCTCTCTCTCTCCCTTCCTCTCTTTCTAAAAAAATCAATAAAAACATTTAAAATTTAAAAAAAAAGAAATAAAATTGTCTGTTTGCAAATTATATTATCTTATATGTAGAAATTCTAAAATATCCACCAAAAACTGCTAAGGCTAAGTAACAAATTTAGTCAAGTTGCAAGATACCAAATCAATATACAGAAATCAGATGTGTTTCTATACACTAGCAGTAAAATATTTTTAAAAAAATTCCAATAGCATAAAAAAAATAAAATAGAATACTTAAGAATAAACTTAACCATGGAGGTGAAAGATCTGTACGCTGAAAATTATTAATTTAATTAAAGAAATCAAAGAAGTCACAAATGGAAAGATGCCCTGTGTTCGTGGATTGGAAGAATTAATATTGCTAAAATGTCCATACCACTCAAAGCCATCTATAGATTCATTGCAATTCATATAAATATTCCAATAGTATTTTTACAGAAATAGAAAAAACAGTCCTAAAAATCCTGTGGAATCACAAAAGACCCCCCCCCCAACCCAAAGCAATCCTGAGAAAGAAGAACAAAAATAGAGGCATCACAAGTCTTGATTTCAAACTATATTACAAAGCTATAGTAATAAATACAGCGTGGTAGTAGCATAAAAACAGACACATAGGTCAATGGAATAGAATCAAAAGTTCAGAAATAAATGCATGCATATATAATCATTTATTATCTCCAATAAATGATGGTGTTGGGAAAACTGTATCATCACATGTAGAAAAATGAAATTGGACCCATACCTTACACCACTCACAAAAACGTACTCCAAATGAATTGAAGACTTCAACATAAGACTTGAAATTGTAAAAGTCCTAGAAGAAAACATAGGGGGAAAAAACTCCTTGATATTGGTATTGGCAACAGTTTTTTGGATATGATACCAAAAGCACAAGCAACAAAAGCAAAAATAAATGAATGGGTCCACAGCAAACTAAAAAGCTTCTGCCCAGCAGAAGAAACAATCAACAAAACAAAAGAGCAACTATGGAATGGAAAAAAATATTGGCAAGCCATTATGGGATAAGGACTTAATATTCAAAATACATAAGGAGCTCGTACAACTGAATAGCACAAAAGCAAATGACCCGATTTAAAAATGGGCAGAGGTTTCTCTTTTCTTTTTTTTTTTCTTTTTGCTCAATCAGTGTGGTGACTGTGGGGGGAGGGGAAGGGAGAGGAAATAGGACACAGAGGGGATAAATGGTGATAGACAAAATAAAATAAAATGTCCTTGGGACCTTCAGAAAATAAAATAGATAAAAATAGGCAGAGGGCCTGCATAGACTTCTTTTTTTCCAAAGAATGCACACAACTAGCCAACCAGTACATGAAAAATGCTCACCATCTCTACCCCTCAGGGCAATGCAAACCTAAACCACAATGAGATGTGACCTCGTATCTGTTAAGATGGTTATTATCAAAAAGGCACGGGGCAACCGTGTCGATGAGGACGTGGAGAAAGGGGAACCCTTGGGCACCGTCGGTGGGAATGTCCATTTTTCCGGCCCCAGTGAAAACCAGGATGTCTGGGTATACATCCAAAGGAAATGCAACCTGGATCTCGAGGAGATAGCTGTACCCCTCGTTCGCTGCAGCATCATTCACAGTGGCCCAGACTCGGAAACAATCTAAGTGTCCACTGGGTAGACTTTGAGGGTGTTGTGCTAAGTCAAGTGAGTCAGACAGAGAAAGACAAATATTATATTATAGCAACTGTATGTGGAATCTAAAGAAGCCAAGGTCACAGAAACAGAGTAGAATGGTAGTTGCCAGGGTCTTGGGCTGGGAAAAGGAGTCGATGTTGGTCAAAGACCACAAACTCCTACTGAGATGAGTAAGCTCTGGGGATGTAACGCCCAGCATGATGACTACAGTCAGCAATACTGTAGTACGCATTTGAACGCTGCTCAGTGAGCAGACCTTAACTGTTCTCACCACACACACACACACACACACACACACACACACACGTCATGAGATGGAGGTGTTCACTAATTCTATTGTGGTAATTAGTGAGCAATATATCCATGTGTCAGATCGTCATTTTATAGATTTTAAACTTACACAAGATTATACGTCAACTTCATCTCGATGAAGCTGGGAACACAAACACGGTGCTTTGGGAGGTTTCTGACAAATTCAAGAAAAAAGGGAGCGATGTGCAGCGGCAGAGTCAGTGGAGGGAAGGTATCAGAAATAAGGTCAGGCAGATGGGAAGGGCGTACACCGTAAGGATTTAAGGGCCAGGCTAATGAATTGGGATTTATTCTGAATATGATAGCGAGCCCAAATTTTCCATACAAGTTGGCATTTTTAAAATCCTCACCGAGGATATGTTTTTACTGATTTTGAGAGAGAGAGAGAAACATTGATGTGAGAGACAAACATCTATCAGTTGCCTTCTGTACCCACCCCGACCAGAGATTGTACCTGCAACCGAGGCACGTGCCCTGATGGGAACCGAATCTGCAAACTTTCGGTGTACTGGGCGATGCTCCAACCAACTGAGCTACCCGGCCAGGGCAAAAGGGGCACGGTCAAGAAAAGTTGGGCAAGATTTTAAAGCAGGAACCAAAACAGATGGAGGAGTTATCTCTACCTTTTATTGTCTTCAGCTAAACACTGACAGTAACATAAATGACCCTTGCCCACAGAAATGCCCACTGTGGCATGCCAGCCATCATCGCTCTGTGGGTCTGGACTACGTGGGCCTCTATCAAGCAACTTCATTTCAGTATTTCTGATGGGATATAGGTTTGTCTGTTCTTTGGATTCTCCTTCGAACGAGTGGGAACTTCTTCGTGCCGTCATTGATCAATGAGTGTAACAAAACCTTTGACACGCACTCATTTTTTGACCTGCATGATGATTGTGTCTTTTGGGAACATTATTCCTAGCAGCATAAACCCCCTCCACAGTAGGAGCACATGCTACCAAACACACGGTCAGCCTGCCACCCGATTTCAACTGCCCCCCGTGGGAGCTGATGCAACCCACCGCCACACCCACACAGCTAACCTCGAACCCAGCACACCAGCAACCCAGACAGCGGTCCTCACCCCATCCTTGTGAAGGATGAGCCACAGAACGGGGCTACTGCCTTTCCACAGCTTTCCCTCTACAGGGACACAAACGCCTGCATGCCACCGCTCTCCCCGATCCCCCGGGACCACCCGGCGCCCGGCCCTCCCTCCGCTCTCGCCTGAGGGAAGGCACAAAGAGAACCAGCGTGTGCGACCTGCCAGGAGTCTGCATGTTCGGGAGCGGGTCGTGCAGGTTGTTCACACACTCGAGACTGCCTTTGTCGGTTTTCAGAGGAAAGAACGGGCGACTAAAACAGGCTCGGTACAGGCTAACGAGAGTCCACCTGTTTTACTACCACCTGACCTTGTGTCTCTTTGCCCAGCCGCCTCCCCTGAACAGCATCTGCACAATGTGAATGACCCTGTGGAGCAAGGATCGCATTTCCAAGTTCTGCCTTTTTAGAGTTGACTTCAGAGGCACCTAGACATGTAGCAGATGCTGACGCAGCCCCCGGGGACATTAAAATTCCCGTGGTAACCCTGCGGTGTGTTTTATAAGTACAGTGTCTTTGCTGGAATTTCTGAGGATAGTGGAGGCGTATCCAGGGTTCTAAAGAAATGTGCATGATAGCGTATTACAAACCTCTTTATTAAAATAGAGTATCATTTATTTGCAATCCTATTTATTAAAAATACTCAGCCAAGATAAGCAGGACTCACAGTCGGTCAATCTGCTCCTCCAGGTCCTCAGGAAAGTCTGTAAGACTTGCTCCGGAATCATGTCAGTGATGTGTGATGTGGCCGCCTTTAATGACTTCCTCCCTTGCCCTCCCCCCACCCCAAACTGTTCAAGTGAATTGGATGTGTGACGTCCTATTCTCTTGCCTGACAAGAACCACAGGTATTTACATGACATTTTCTGTATGCTCTAACTATAAAAGAAAGGCAAAAATCGCTGAGCATTAGGTAATTTTTATTTTAAGGTAAGTCATTTGTTTCTATTATCTCATTACCTGTTGGAAGCTCCGAGCCAAATCTGTACCTGAGCTACACATGAGAATAAATGTCCAGACCAGTAGTAACTGAATAAGCATCTAGATCAGAGGTTTCTGCATCTTTTTCCTTGGCTTAGTCTTTACCCCAGACTTGCAGGCTTGGTTATCTTGTTTGTTTGGGGTTTTTTCACCTTTATACTCTGACTCTTCTCTGGAATATGACAGTGTCCAAGGAAAACAGGCAGTGAGGGAGACAGTTCAAATAGTTTTTAAACCTGACAAATTCACAAGGTCAAGTGGTAACCTTGACTCTGCTTGCATTATATAACCCTGCAAAGCATATATTTCTTTAAATATTAATGAAAGATATTTCTATTATTTAAATTGATATTCCAGGTGAATTTTTTAATGATGGAAATCCACATTCCAGCAGTGCAAATACAATATTTTTTTCCCTGGAAATTTGACTTTTCAAACTAAATTAGATAACTTATGTGTTTAAAATTACAAGAGCACCCGGCCAGTGTGGCTCAGTGGTTGAGTGTCAACCTATGCACCAAGAGGTCACCGGTTTGATTCCCGGTCAGGACACATGCCCAGGTTGTGGGCCAAATCCCCAGTGGGGGGCGTGCAGGAGGTGGCCAATCGATGTTTCTACCTCTCCTTTTCTCTCTAAAATCAATAAAGAAAAAAATTTTTTTTTAATTACAAGAGCAGCTCAGCCTGTGTGGCTCAGTGGACTGAGTGTGTCCCACGGACTGAGAGGTCCTGGTTCAATTCCCAGTCAGGACACATGCCTGGGTTGTGGGCTCGATCCCAAGTAGGGGGCGTACAGGAGGCAGCCGATCAATGTTTCTATCTCTTTCTCCCTTCCTCTCTCTCTAAAAAATAAATAAATATATATTTTTAAAAAATAAAATTACAGGAGCAGGTTATGCATGGGAAAATGTACTAATAAGAACACCTGAGAGCAAGAAACTAAAATCTGACTCAAAATGGCTCAAACAAAAACTGGAATATATTGTCTCATGCAGAAATAATAAGCTTCAGGCATGGCTGTATCCAGGGGCTTAAATTATATCATCTAGTTCCACTTATCTCAAGGTTCTGCGTTGCTCCTATTAGCTTCACTCTCAAGAAGGCTCTTTCCGTCTGGAAATAATAAATTTATCAGCAACTCCAGGTTGAGATCTTATCCACTAATTTAACAACCCCACTCCCAAACACCAAATACTAATATCAACATACATTTATAGAATCCTCAGAAACTAAAGTAACTCTGACAGAGAAAGCGATGGTATAACTGTCATTCAACACTGTCTTATGATTGTTCAGCGAATATAATTTAGCAGATTATCAGACCAAAAAAAGTGTCTATAACGTCTTTCCCCAAATAGAAGTCTTAATAGAGCCCTGGCCGGTTTGGCTCAGCGGTTAGAGCGTCGGCCTGCGGTCCTGAGAGACCCGGGTTTGGTTCCCGCTAAGGGCATGTACCTCGGTTGCAGTTTGTCCCCGGCCCTGGTCGGTCGTGCGGGTGGCGGCCACTCGATGTGTCCCTTTCACGTCGATGTTTCTCTCTCTCTCTCTGTTCCTCTCTCCCTCCCCCCCCCCCTACCTGAACAAAAAATGGAAAGATGTCCTCGGGTGAGGATAAAAAAAAAAAAAAAAAAGAAGTCTTAATAGAGAAGCGGCTTCTTCTGTAAACCGAATATCACGCTGACGTTTCACAGACTGGATAGAACTTTTTTCTCCAATTCAGTTTCACTCACCCTCCGGGCCTGGGGCTACACGGTCGA